TTGATTTTTGTTTTACAAACGCTAATGCTTTATAAATTTCTGTACAGTGTGAGTCACTGATTTGTGTGTTAACTTCTAATTTGGTGTGACCTCTCCTATGTGTGCGTTCATTTATTGTGTGGTTTATCAACTCTTAGGATAATCTCAGTTACGTATTTAGTGCATCTGGTGTTGGAGAGGATCTCTGTATGATTATATCTTGCTTTATACCAATGACTACTGATGATGAGCGGGGTAGGTTGCTGAGAGACTAAAGAAAGTAAAGATGACTTGTGGAAGAGAAGGTTTAAGACTTACTTACAGGGCCCGCGATGGTGTCCCTCACTCCCCACCGTCCTCCTCCCGAAGGCAGCTCCCACCCTTCGCAGCTTGGAGCCCCTGGGACCAGCCTCCAGCAGGCCCCCGACCAAGACTACCCCTAAACTGGAACCACAGTGGCCAGACTTGTGCGTGAAGACGAGAAGTGACAACCGGAAAGGGCTGCTGGGCTGCGAGAAGGCGAGCCAGGCCTCGGAGGAGGAGGAAGGCCAGACTGAGCTGGGCTGTCACGACTGGAGGGGGAACTTGCAGCCTTACCAGGCACTTAAGTATTCATCAAAGAGTCACCCCAGTAGCAGTGATCACAGACATGAAAAGATGTGAGACGCCGCAGATCCTTCACCACCAAATAAAATGTGGCGGAGATCTGATAGTCCTGAAAACAAGTACAGTTACAGCACAGGTCGCAATAAGGGCAAAAATGTGCATACTCACAGAGTTCGAGAGAGGGAAGGTGGCACCAGTTACTCTCCACAAGAAAATTCACACAACCACAGTGCTCTTCAAATTCACATTCTTCTAATCCAAGCAATAATCCAAGCAAGACTTCAGATGCACCTTATGATTCTGCAGATGACTGGTCTGAGCACGTTAGCTGTTCTGGGAAAAAATATTACTACAATTGCTGAACAGAAGCTTCACAGTGTGAAAAACCAAAGGAGTGGCTTGCAAGAGAACAGAGACAAAAAGAAGGCAATAAGGTGGCAGTTAATAGCTTCCCAAAAGATAGGGATTACAGAAGAGAGGTGATGCAAGCAACAGCCACTAGTGGGTTTGCCAGTGGAAAATCCACAGCAGGAGCAAATCAGTATCACATTCTTGCACAATTCCTTCTACGTCTTCTGCCTCTGGACTGAATCCCACATCTGCACCTCCAACGTCTGCTTCTGCAGTGCCTATTTGTCCTGTCCCACAGTCACCAATACCTCCACTTCTTCAGGACCCAAATCTTCTTAGACAGTTGCTTCCTGCTTTGCAAGCCACACTGCAGCTGAATAATTCTAACACAGACATATCCAAAATAAATGAAGTTCTTACAGTAGCTGTGACACAAGCTTTGCTGCAGTCTATAATTCATAAGTTTCTTACTGCTGGACCACCTGCTTTCAACATCACATCTCTGATTTCTCAAGCTGCTCAGCTCTCTACACAAGCCCAGGCATCTAATCAGTCTCCCATGTCTTTAACATCTGATGCCTCATCCCCAAGATCTTATGTGTCCCCAAGGATAAGCACACCTCAGACTAGCATGGTCCCTATCAAACCTTTGATTAGTACTCCTCCTGTTTCATCACAGCCAAAGGTTAGTACTCCAGTAGTTAAGCAAGGACCAGTGTCACAATCAGCCACAGAGCAGCCCGTAACTGCTGGCAAGCAGCAGGTTCATGAACCCGTCTCTCCTTGAAGTCTTCAGCGCTCTAGCCAGAGAAGCCCATCACCTGGTCCAAATTATACTTTGAGTAGTAACGCATCAAATGCAACAGTTGTCCCACAGAACTCATCTGCCTGCCCTGTGTGTTTTTTAACACGTACACTGGCAGCACACTTCAGTGAGAGTCTCATAAAACATGTTCAAGGCTGGCCTGCAGACCATGTGGAGAAGCAGGCATCGAGACTGCATGAAGAAGCCCATAACATGGGAAGTGTTCACATGTTAGAAATTTGTACTGCATTAAAAAATCTAAGATCTTTAGTCTTAGTATGTGAAATTCAAGCAACTTTGCGAGAGCAAAGGATACTGTTTCTGAGACAACAAATTAAGGAACTTGAAAAGCTAAAAAATCAGAATTCCTTTATGGTGTGAAGATGTGAATAATTGCACATGGTTCTGAGTACAGGAACTATAAATCTGTTGCCCAATCTTAACATTTTTGAGCTGCATTTAAGTAGACTTTGGACTTTTAAGCTGGGCAGAGAAAATGACAAGGGGATGATAGGGTCTGTGAGAGTCAATTCAGGGGAAAGATACAGATTGATTTGTAAAACCCTTGAAATGTAGATTTCTTGTAGATGTATTCTTCATGTTGTAAATATGTTTTGTAGAGTGAAGCCATGTGTAACAGAGCTTAGACATCCAAAACTAATCAGTGCTGAGGTGGCTAAGTACCTAGCCTTTTACATGTAAACCTGTCTGCAAAATTAGCTTTTTTAAAAAAACTTGGGGGGGTGTTAATTTATCATTCAGAAATCTTGCATTTTCAAAAATTCATTGCAAGCGCCAGGTGATATCTAAGGATGCGATTTTGAACCATATGGGCAGTGTACAAAATATCATGAAACAGCTGTTTCCACACCTGCACCTGATCAAGAGCAGTGCTTCTCCATTTGTTTTGCAGAGAAATGTGTTCCATTTCCCTCTTAAATCCTTGATCTGATTTACCCATTTTTTTAAGACTCCTCTTTTCCTCCTTTCTTAAGGCACTGTTTCTATGGCACTTTTCTATAACCTTTTCATTCCTGTGTACAGTAGCTTAAAATTGCAGTGATTATGCAATTGGCTGCAAATGGACTTTCAATAATTTATACTCTGCAAGAATGGACTTAAACTACTGCTGAGCATGTGTGCTGAGAGTACACGGATCGCTCAATTGTAAGGAAATGGCCCAATGAACATGGTTGTGGGAGGGGGAAGAGGAAACAAAGCTAGTCAGATGTGAATTGTGTCTGTTGTAATAAACATGTTAAAACAAACAAAAAAGACTTACAGGGAAGGAAGGGGTTAATTGGTACTTGCTAATAGGGAAGGATTTTAAATGAGTGCATTCAGGACCAGTGGCATTACTTCGAATATACACAAGGACCGTATATGCCTCAGTACCGCCCCTTGGCAAAATCCCATGAGGGTCGTGTCCTAAGCAGCATGCTCAGCAAGTCCCGTAAGTGGCATGTACTCAACTGTGACACTGCAGGGAAAATCCATGGGAAACACATACTATAGAACCACCTCACTTGGTAAAATCACGAGGGGTGCATACTTAATAATAGCAGTCATCACAGGGAGAGGGTTTTCTAGGTGACACTATATAGGTAGTGACATCATTAGTTTGCTTTTGTTCCATTGTATTATCAGCATACCAAGGAACAGCTAACTAGTATACGACCAGGAAGGTGGTTTCTATAGATACTGCTAGTTACCATTTCCCAGTGTCCTTTGGATAATACTCATCTAGACAGTTTGTTCTCTTGACTTGGCCAGAGTCTTGGGGTACAGATGTTGTGTTTCAGGAATTTGATGCCAAATGTCTTTTTCTCAGGGACAATACATTTCATTCCCCATGTGCCTGAATTCCTTTTCAGCCTTATTGTGCCCATCCTTTGCAATATCCTGTGGGAATTTCCAAGATGTACATTGCAACCAAATCCCACAACAACAGTATGAAAGGTAATGGATTGTGACAGGCCCTGCTAGGCGAGCAAGCAAATTGCATAAAACATTTCTTCAGGTAGCAGGAAGAGGCTGTGACTAACCAAGCAGAAGTTAGATTGTTTCTCTGTAGTTGTAAGGTGGTTTTGTAATTTATGGACTTAAAGATGTATTATTTGTTTGTTTGTTTTTGGTACCGGGAATCGAACTCGGACCTTGCACTTGCTTGGCAGGTGGTGGTAACACTGAGCTAAATACCTGGCCCAAAGATGGATTATTGATAGAGCAATATTATACAATAATATAGGCCCTTGCCTTGCCTCCATGGTTTTTGTTTTTTTTTTCTCCACAAAGTGTTTTGTTCCAGATGTAAGTTTGTGCTGTGGGGCAACGCTCCTGCCCAATGTAGCAAAATGTTTTGTGACTGAACTGTGACCTCTCACGAATGTTCCGTTAGCCCTGCCCCTTTCTGGAATGTTCTGTAACTCCTCCCCCTTCTGTGAGCATGCTCAGCCACTAGGCCTTTCAGGATCCTTCTGTAACTCCGCCCCCCTGCTTTGGTGAGCATGCTCGCCTACCAAGTAGACCCCTATATAAGGAGGCTCCCGTTTCTAGTCAAGGGCTCAGACTTGAACTCCTCTGAGCCTGCCAGCGTAATAAAGGTTTTTTTGCACCTCTTCGAGACCCAGAACTGTAACACTGAACTGTAACAGCTGTGCCTCAGAGTTATGGCATGTGGCTGTGACACTGGGCTATGGCACTGAGCCTGAGCTGTTCCGTTTTCCACAGCATTATGAGAACTTATGGAAACACACACAGTTTTATTTTATGAGAGTATAGGTGTCTCCTTGTGCATTAGTAAACTAATCGAGACTGTCAAACACAGGGGATCCCAACAAAGACTTAGTTATGCCCATCTCTTCCCAAGTCTATAGAACGGTTGTCTTGTATTCATGAAACTGTTCCTATTTGTAAGTGTCATGCTCTGCATTTTTTAATGGCAGGTCTGTTCAATCAAATTCAAAGGGACTCAGGACAAACTTGTGCTTTGACTAGACTGTTGTAACAGTTATCAAGTTATCATAGGCACTCAGTGTGTGAACACTTTCTTTACAATCTTTTGGCTTTGGTTTTTGGTAAGGCTGACATAAATGACTCCATCTTGATTTTGACAACTCCAAAGCCGCCTTTATATTCCTCCCTTGTCTTTGTGCTTGTCTCTCTGAAGACATTGTTAATACATCATCCTGTAGTTACGTTGTTAGTATCCCCATTGGTGTGATGACGTTCTGGTTGTTGGTCTTATTTCATCCCACAGAAAAGTTCTGAGAGAGGACATGAGTGTGAACAGAAAGAATACAACCACCAACTCGTGCAGTAAATGTTGGGTTTGCAGCATCATAAGAATGCCTCATAAATTGAGTACAGATCACTGCTGCTGTCTGTCTCATCCTTCTGAAAACATATTTGGGATGTTTTAGGAGTCAGTGACCTTTGAGGATGTGGCTGTGAACTTCACCCAGGAGGAGTGGGCTTTGCTGAAGCCTTCTCAGAAGAATCTCTACAGAGCTGTGATGCAAGAGACCTTCTGGAACCTGGCTTCTGTAGGTAAGGGAGACCTCTCTCTTCACTTAGTTAGGGAGCAAATATTTCTTGCTCACTAGTGCTATTCAAAGTTTTGTAATATGAAAAACAAACACCTTGGTGAAAAAATTTAGCATGGTTACAATGGAGCAGAACCTAGAATGGAGCATTTTTATATAATATAATAATTTATCACAATTTTCCGATGTCTGCATTTTAGGTCAAAAATGGCAGTACCAGACCATTGAAGATGTGCACAAAAATCTCAACAAAAGTCTAAGGTAATTTCCACTCACAAGAGAAAGCATTGTTCCTCACAAAATTTGGAATGACAGGAAATATTTGAAAGAAGCATAGAAAACAATCCCAGCTGCAAAATGATTTCCTTCCAGCATTTTTTTTCTTAAACTACATACTAGTTGAGCATTCTTATTCTAAAAATTTAAAGTACTAAATGCTGCAATATCCTGAACTCTTAAGCACCAACAAGGTGCCACAAATGATACTTTCTGATTGTTCAATGTACACAAACTTTGTTACATGCCTAAAATTATTTAAAATGTATATAGCTACTTTCAGACTTTTCATATCAGGAATATGTGAAACATAAAGAAATTTTTTATTTATACCTGGCTTCCATTTCCCAGATATAATGTATATGCAAACATTTCAAAATCCAAATTAAAAAACACTTCTTCTCCCATGCATTTTGGTTGTGATCAATTAGTTTTAAACACCACTGCATGCGGACCAGCCCTCCCATGCATTTTGGAAGAGGGATTGTAAATCTGTGTGTAAATGTAACTTAGATATTCAGTGTTTGCAGTATAGTTACCTTGGAAACAGTACTAGGAAATCCTTGTGACTATCAGTGCTTTGATATGTAATCTTTCAGAGCATTCATTTCATGCAGGTTCTCACAGTTTATACAGGGAGTAAAGCTGACACATTTCCTGATGACATTAAAATATAAGTCTAGTACTTATTAGTAAATGTAAAGTCATCCATTAACCTCTTAGTAATGTGTTGTTCTTTTATTATAGATGTCAAGTGCTAAAGAAATTCTTTAAACATAAAGAAAGTAGACAACATGGAGAAATGTTCAGCAAGATTCCAGATCATAGAGTGAACAAGAAAACTTCTAGGGTAAAACGACATAAAAGCCACCTGTGTAGAGAAGTGGTCAGTAGTCTTTCATTGTTTCCGAGAGACATAATAATTAACCATGGACACAGGCTATCTGAGTATCAGGACTGTACAGGGAGGCCCCATGAATGTAACAAATGTGATAAAGCTTTTAAGTGGCCTTGTGACCTTCGAAATCATGAAAGGACCCACACTGGAGAGAAACCTTACACATGTGTGCAGTGCGGGAAAACCTTTGCTTGTTCTACCTACTATCGAAGACATGCACAAATTCACACTGGAGAAAAGCCCTATATATGCCAGCAATGTGGGAAATCCTTCCGGTGTTCCAGTTTCCTTGAAATACATGAAAGAATCCACACTGGAGAGAAACCTTTTGTATGTAAGCATTGTGCAAAAGCCTTCACTCGTGCCAGTACTCTTCGAATACATGAAAGAAACCATAATGGAGAGAAACCTTACGTGTGTGATCTATGTGGGAGAGCTTTCCGAGAGTACAGCAAAATGCTAAGGCATGGAAAAACTCATAATGAGGACAGACACTGTGCATGTGAGGAATGTGGGAGAGTCTTCAGGAGCTATGGTTACTTGCAAAAGCATACCAGGATTCATGCTCACCAGAAACCCTAAATACAGAATGTGGAAGGCCTCTTTATCTGCCATCCACCGTAGCATACCTAAGAATGCCTAGAGGAGGGCCTCCTGTCAAGGTACAGTGGGAAAGCCTCTAGCACGTGGGTTCCATTCACAGGGTTGAAAGAACACAGTATTGAGAAAAACATCATTAGTGGAAGAGATGTGCAAAACTCTAGTTGGTCCACTTGTAAGCATGTACACTGGATCAAAACCATGTGAATGAGAAAAATACAAGAAAGATATCAGTTGTAATAGTTTCAGTGTCCTGTAAAAATTCCTTAGTCTTGAAAGCCTATGAATGTAAGTAATATAAAGGGTATAATGCTATACCTCATCTGATGAAGGAAACCTAAAAGGTACGTTATTATTGTGTCCATCATTGGCTCTTTTTCAGGGTGGATGGTGTTTGATTGAATCAAATAATAAAAGTATAATTATTCTACTGTCCTCATGCAGCAGGTTCTAGATATTTCTCACATTTTGCACATTTTTATAACTGAGAATGGATTTTGTTTTACCAGTTTTAGGACACATTTACAGTATGTCTTTGTCTTGATCTGTCCTGATCTCTGAGGAGCATCGTTTGATGTTGTGTGTAACTTCTCTTCATAAGCCATGACGTTGTAAATGTGAGGCCAACTGAAGTCTTCTCAGCGTTTTTTTCTTTCTACTTAGTATCTAAACACTGAATCATTTCCTACATCGTACAGTACACTCTTCTCCATAAATCAAATATTCTTCAACACAGGGTAAGGTTACATTTCTATAAACCTGTGATAAAAAAATATGAAAATTTGAAGAAACAGTACACCTAACCCACTGATTATCAGTGAGTCTCCCCTAAAATAAACTCACATCACTTACAAAAGTCCATGGGCACGCAAAATGATCTAGCAGGTGTGTTATGTGAATAGGTGTTGTAAATGTAGTGTAATTCATTCAGTATAGTCATCATGTAGTGTGGATTGCTTACCTTCACGATCATGTGTGATTCTGCCTAGCATAATGAGAGAGTGGCCTGGCACCTACCACCATTGTGAAACATTAATCTTGAAACTCTACTGCATGCATATTACTTTCCTATCATCGTTAATATTATCAGTTGGTGTTCATCCCTGTGTCAGTTAAAATATATGCATTCACTGAATCCTTAGCAAGATGTGTAATTTATCTCTTGAAATCTCCTCTGCGGGTCTTAAGGAGAGCAGTATATTTAGGTAAGTTATCAGACTACAAGCCTGAGAAGGGATGGAGAACACATCACTGTTGCACTTAAGCTTTTCCTCTTCAGAAAATACGCCTTTCATGGTAATTCTGAGGAGCCTCACATGCTAGCTTCATAGATACAGACTTAACCATGAGTAACCCCGGCCTTCTGTGTTCTCAATGTACAGCTGTTTAAAAATGAGTTGCTGTCATGCTGGTGTTTGCTTTTTTTGGTAAGAAAAGTAAGGTGGTGAACAGACCCAAAATCTGGTGTTTATCAGATGGACATCTAAAAGCTGTGCTGTCCTCTCTGTGGGAAGTCATTGTGTGTGCCATCATCATTCTCTTCTTTTCCACACCATCCAACTGTCAGGCCAGGTTCAGCAGCTGCTCCGCTGTGGTCTGACAGTATGGGTCCTGCAGAGCATCCTGTTTTGGTGGGATTGACCATCACCATAGTCTATAAAAATCAAGCACAGGAATGATTTAGCAGTGGTTGAATCTCTTATTGCCTGTGACTTTGTGAGACTCTGGGGACCGAGACTTCCCGTTAATTTGGTTCACAGGTATCAGGTACATGTGTTTGATATCATTTGAGGAGTTTCAGCTGTACTTTCTGTGGGCCTATATCATTCTTCTCTGGGGAGTGAGTGAAGCAACATGCACCTCCCTCAATGCCTGGAGCTCCTCCCAGTTTGAGAAAGGGTTATGATCCTGTACACAGTGGCAGGCCACAGTGGGTGTTCTGTGTTAGTGGAGTGACATCTAAGCAAGCCACTGATTTTCTCTTTGAAACACCAAAGGAAGTATGGATGCCTCAGGGTTGCTTATCCAAGGTGAACAGCAGGCATAGCTTATTTTGAGTGGAGACAAGGAAGTATATTTGGCATACTCACCACGGGAAACTTTGTCTGTGAGTATAGCTGGGAACACTGCATTTCAGTGACCCACAAAACCCAGAGTCCATTTTGCTGTCCAGAGGTGTCCCTTCCATATGCTTAAACTTCAGCACGTGTCAGGTTTCATTAGTCTTCCTGTGTATGTAAATGAAAATGTAATGTACTTGGCTTCATGGAAATATAAGCTAGAGCTCAGATTTCACCTTGAAACGGACATGTCTCATGGTATTTGAATTCTTTCCTCAAAATCCTATGTGGAAAATTAATCCCAATGCAAAGGTATTGGGCAGTGGAGCCTCCTGGGAGGTGTGTGTCACGTGTGCTGTGTCCGTAGGTGTTGATTAATGCTGCTCTTGCCTATCTGCATTCTGCCCTGAGAAGATAGAGCAAGAAGGCTTTCATCAGGTGCTCGTGCCATGATGTTGGACTTCACAGCATCCAATACTATGGGGACATTCTCTTTTCTATGAATTACCCAGGTGAGGTATTCTTTTATAGCCGTCAAACTAGGACAGATTGAGTGCCAAAAGTGCAATGGGTGCTGCCACAGCAAATACCTGAACATACGGAAGTGGCCTTGGAAGTCAGTGGGTAGAGGCTGGAACGGTTTTATTATGAATACTGGGGCGGGGGGGAACTCGTATTGCTGTAATTAGATCATGAAGGTTGGTCAGGTAAAGGCTTGTGGAAGAGAAGAGCAGTTCCAAATCCTGAATCCACTTAGAAATTAAGTGGCTTTAAATTGAACACACGTGTAAATACGGCATTTTCTCTGGTGTGAGAAAGTGAAAATAAGAACCAAAATGTGTAATAGATACTATGAAATAGGTAGAAATTATTCAAAATTATACCAAGTATGAGATATTTTGTCAATCAAAATGTTTTATGCAAAAAGGTATAGTATTATTAGAAAATGAGATAGATTAGCAATTGAAAATATATTCCTTTAAGATCATGATACAGTGTATTTACCAGTTACTTTCTATTTTGTTATGCAAAATTATTTTTTCATAGAACTGTTTATATTTTCTTTATTAATATCTACTTGTATTATTAAAATAAAAATTTTAAAAATTGAATAAAGAGAAATTAAGTGGCCTTGAGCACTGTTGATTAAAACATGGATGGCAAAAGCCATTGATGGATTATTTAGATGAGGATATATTGTTGGAAACTTGGAATTATCTATTCTTATTGCACAGAATTTGCCTGGATTGTTTGTGTGTCCTAGGATCAATGAAGTACAGAATTTGTGAGTGATGGACTAATATACTTGACACAAGAAATCCCTAAGCGTCAATGTTTGAAGATACCCATTCTTCGTTAGCTCCATTGACTTACCACCAGTAAAAGGTAAAGAAAGGTAAAGATCAATGGTGTAATGGAAATGTCTCCACCTGCCCCGGTAAGAAATCAAAGTTTGCCTGGGAGAGAATACCAAGGAAGTGTCCAAGCAAATGCCTAGAAGATGGGTGTGGATAGAAGGAAGTCAGGATCAAGGCGGTGGGGACATGACCCCAAAGTCACTGTGGTGATATTCAGAGCTGCCTGTTCCTTCACGGGTCCAGGGTGCTAGCACAGAAGAATTTTGTGGCAGGGCCCAGGGTGTCCATGGTACTATTGAAGCAGAACAGAGGAGTTCAGTGCCGCAGCCAAGTGTCACAGCTCTGAGGCACGGCTGAGCTTTACAGCCCAGTGTGGCAGCTCTGGGTCATAGCTCTCATAATTTGAAGACTCTAGAATCCAATGATCAGTTGAAGAGGTGGAGAAAAAACCCCTTTATTCCAACGGGGAGCCCTGGCAGCCTCGAGTCTGAGTGCCCTACCAGAATTGAGAGCCTCCTTATATAGGGATCTATAGGGTAGGTGAGCATGCTCATTGAAGCGGGGGCCAGAGTTACTGAACATTCCTGAGAAGGGATGGAGCTTAACCGAACTTTCTTGTGAGGGGGCAGAGCTTCACAGAACATTCCTGAAAGGTCACACACTTCAGTCACGAACCATTTTGCTATATTGGGCAGGAGTGCTGCCCAGAGCACAAACATTTTCAAAACAACATTCTGTGGGAAAAAATGGAGGCAAGGCAAGGGCCTGTCTTACTGTGTAGCACTTCTCTATCAGTACTATGAGACTGACTATTCAAGGCTGCAGCGGTTCTGTTCTCTGCATTCTCACGGAGCACACCTCAGCCACTCTAGTGTTGGTTCTAGAGAGCCAATATTGTTCCCCCCACTGCACTGAAAGGTTCAAACAATAAACTTTGCACTTGGTCTTGGTTATCCATGTCCTTGGTACAAGAGACCGAAAAGAATGAGTTTCCCCACTTGTATTTCAAAGAATGTCTCAGTCTTCAGGCCCAACAGAAGCCCGCCACAGGGATGGAGCCGTTACAGAAAGCCCACTTCGATGAAGCTCGGGACTGTAGGCTTGGACTGCTGCAGAGATCGCCCAACATGGCGGTATCTAGGTGAGAAAGGAGAGAGCTCCACGGGAACGTAGCACAGTCCCGGGACTGCCTTATGAGCAAGATCAGAGCATGGCAGCCCGAGCACTGGCTTCACTCAGGAGATGGGCTGCCCGGGTTTCACGGGCGGAACTTGACCAGTGTACAGGAAGTGGGGTGTGAAGTATGATTCCGTAGGCTCCGTCATCAGCAGGTTCACGTTCGACAGCTTCAGATCAACCACAGTCTGAAAATACTAAATGGGAAATTTCTTAAAGTTTTCAGTCGCGGGCAGTTGTGATTAGCGTTATGAAACGTGCCGTTCTCTGTCCTCCACGTCATTTCGTCGCCCCCTATTGTAGCTGTATGACGTCACTTCTGGACTCGAGGGTCGGTAGCCTGTAATCAACCACATCCGCATGACTTTTGTCAGTGTGCTAGCACTGGGTCCTTAGGTATTCTTAATCCCATCGGGCTTAGTTGATTAAACTGTCCTACAGGGCGGTGGTGGTGCTGGGCTGCAGTCTGTCACGTCGTTCTCCCGGGCCGGGTGTGCGGCCGCATCCTTTGTGACTCAATGGTAGAGTGGAGGTCTGGTCTCTGGCCAATCAGCAGTGCGGTACTAATTTCCCAATCAAGAGCACCGTTGTATGGCGTGCGCGTCGCCGCAAACATCGCGAGATTTTCTTGCCGCCGCCGCCATAGGGAAGAACTGTGTGGGCCGCGATCCTTGCTGTACACAGCGCCGGACGCGGAGTCCGCGGGGAGGCCCGAGAACCACGGGATCCAGGGATGGTGAGTGCCTCCGGCGCCGGGACCCGCCTGTCCCTGCCCGCGTCACAGCACTGCCCGGGAGACGGGAGGGTCGGGAGCGCGGCTCCGCTCTCCGCAGGGCAGAGCTGCTGTCCTGGCGAGAAAGCTTCAGTACGGTTTCCTTGTGCTTCCCAGGCTGGCCTCGAGTTCGGAATCCTGCCCCTCGGCTTCCTGCGTCGCTGAGACGCCGAGCCCGGCCTCTCTGGTCTGCGTCTGTGCCTCTGGGCCGAAGGGTCTGGGCCCGGGGGCCCGGGGGCCAGGAGGCCAGGGGGCCAGGAGGCCAGGGAGGCGGGAGCCGGGAGCCGGGCGGGGCCTTTGGCTGTCAGCGCCGGAGGTGGGGACCTGCAGAGTCGGGAAGGTCGCGCGCCCGTGCCAGCTCCCCGAGTGGACGTGATCGTTAGTGCTAGAAAGACCTAGCCAGGCCCATCAGAGCACTCCATTGATGCGTTCTGAGGCCCAATCCTGCCCTTTCTGTCCTTCCTTTCTGCCCTTTTTTTTTTTTTTTTTTTCCTTTTTGAGTCAGGGTCTCATTCTGTTGCCCACGCTGGGCTTGAAATTAGGATCCTCCTGCCTCAGCTTCCCTGAGCACTGGGATGACAGGCACGTACTGCCTGTCCTGGCTGAGATTCCCTTTTGAGAACATGACAGGCTGATGTGTCCTCAGCTCGCCCTTCTGTTGTCTCCTGGACCCACGTTTCAGGCATGTGTGACAGTGGTGATTCTAGATCTCCACAGTGGCTGTCTCTTGTCTGGCCTTGGGTCCTAGAGGACAGTAGGGGTAGAGGGATGGGGCTTTTTAGGGATCTACCTGATGGACTCCTGTTGTGCCCGTCATCCAAACAGGCACCCCTTTAGGATAAGACTTTCCTACTTAGGTAGAAAAGGGTTCCGTTCCTTGGGCATATTCAACCACCATTCAATAATTAGATGCTGGTATTGAGAGGACAGGTGGAAATGATTCCTGGGCCCTGGATTCTCTGACTCGTGAATGGAGACAAACAGTCCCAGAAGACAAGGAAAACACCCATTTGAGGTGGTGTCAGAATCGAAAAACACCCTTCACTTTGGGGACACAGGAGGCACAGCCCAGTATGCGTAGGAGGATGGGCTGATGTCTTGAAGAGAAAGGTGATCTCACGTGGCACTTAAAACTTGATTCAGACGTGTTTGGCTTCCAGTTCTGTGCTGATTGTCCCTGAATCTGTTGTCCTGTAAAACCATGTTTGACTTCAGATTTTCAGAATAGCTAGAAAGATAAGGTGAACTACAGTCAAACGAGCCAGTAACAAGTACATTTCAGGGAAAAATATTAAACATCTAGCTTTGTATTTTCTTTGTTAACATTTTAAATTTTATTCTTGGGTATGGTGGCCTACACCAATAATCTCAGTTACTGGGGGTGGGAGGTGAGTCAGGTGAATTGCAGGTTTGAGCCCAGCCTGAGCAACATTGAGAGACTCAATCTCAAAATTCAAAAAATGAAAAGGGCTGGGGTAGAGCTCAGTGCTCCCTAGGTTCAATCCTAGGTCAAAAACAATTTTATTTACATATTGTAATTTTTACTTCTCTTCTTTGTAGTGTATACAGTACATTTCTCTGTTCTTTTTTGGAGGGTTAAGGTGAGCTCACCTGGAATTCTAAGGCTTTGTCTTCAGAGTTCTACTGGGGTAAGAATCTCAGAGAAATAGGCATGGTTGTTGTAGGGAAATAAGTACATTTCCACAGGTCAGTATGTAAACAGACTAGTGAATTACAAACACTTTTCAAAATATCAAAATCTCACTATGTAGTTCCATCTGGCCTTGAACTCACTGTGTGGCCCAGGCTGGCCCCGAACTCGTGGCAATCTTCCTGCCTCAGCCTCCCTAGTGCTGGGATTACAAGGGTGTGCCACCACGCCTGGCCAGAATCTTTTTTTGGTGCCTGCTTTTCAGAGGCAACCCCCAAAAGTGTTCAAATATAATTATTTGCTAAGTAATTTTTATCATAAGAATTCAATGATACCTTTATTGTCTGAACTTGTGCTTTTCTTGTCAAGCAATGAAACATATGCCTAATTGTCCTCCTCTTGCATATACATACATAAACACTGAATCTCAGTGGTCTTGCTGGAATATTTGAGCACTGATATTTTCTCTTTTAAAATAACTGAGCAGTCTCTTCTGAGGACAGAGGACCCCTGCCTGTGACTTCAAGGTAGGGTTGATGAGCCTGCAAGGGCCGTCACAGGAGGCCTGTGTTTCCACCTGTGCGTCTGCTCTTTGGGTGTCCCTGGCTGCTCACAGGGGACCAAAACAGCTCTTGCTGCGAAGACACTGAAAAGCTGGGTCCACTTGCCACCGTGGGTTGGTGTGGCTGGGGAGGAGAGTTTACCTGTCTGAGCTTGTAGCTGTCATTCTGGGGCTAGTCTAGACATGGTTGCTTAAGAATGAATGACTGGGAAGCCAACCTGGTGGGGCGCCCTTTTAATCCCAGCACTTGGAGGCTGAAGCAGGAGGATTGCTGCAAGTTTGAGGCCAGCCTGAACTACACAGCGAGACCCTGTCTCAAAAATAACTAACTAAATAAGTAAATAAGAATGCCTGTTCAATTAGGACCTGACTATTTGAAAGGAGTATTACATTAGAGAGAAGCTTGAACTCAGGTCCGTAAGCATCACCCTGGTTAGGCAGAAAGTGGCTTTTCTCTCACAAGGAGGAGCAGGCAGGAGTAGAAAGGAGGTGGGAGAGGAGGGGCTGTGGAGGGTGGCAAGGTCCGCCCCGGGTGCAGAGTAGGTTTTCCGAGGACGGCTTGTTCTTGGGGCGACAGTAAAGTGGGGGTGTTGTGCTACATGAGGCTGAGGATGGGTTAAAGACCGCAGGACTGCAGGAGAAAAACCTGAAGAGTGTGCTTAATACATGTTTTATTAGGGCAAACGATTCGGCTAATTTATAGCGGAAGTTGGAATTTGTAAAGTGAGCGCTGGCCTCTGCTGGTCGGGAGGCAGGCCCTGTCTGGGGTGGTCTGCGTGGAGTGGGGACGTGCTCCTGCGCACTGGGCGTTTCTCCAGACCGAAGCCGCTGTGCCGCCTGTGTACACTGCTGGGTTGCTAAATCCAGCTACATAACTAATAGATGCATCCCCATATGTATCGTTTTTTTTTCTGTGAGAACACTTGTACTACCCTAGTCCCGAAGTAGTTTTTCAGAGTACAATAGAAACCTCTCAAAATTTTGGTTCTTTTCAACAGTATCTTTTCAACTCTCTCCATTTCACTTTTTGTTTGTTTTGCAGAGTTGGTCTTCTTTTCTCTGTATTCTTTTTCACTCTGTCCTTCTATCAGTGTGTACAGATAGCGAATGCTTGAATGGATTGTGTTGGTCAGCTTTCCTATTGCTGGGACAGAATGCCTGGCAACACGGCGGAAGGAAGGAAGGAATGGTTTGTCTGTCTCCAGGTTTCAGAGGTCTCAGTCATGCAGAAGCATGGTGACGCGGGCCATGGTGGAGCAACAGCCGTGGGAAGCAGCAGGAAGGACAGGGCTGGGTTCCGGTCCCAAGGCCAGGGCCCATGACCATCCAGACACCCTGCAGTGTGCAGGACAGCCTGCAGAGTGTGCTGAGTCCGGTGAGATTGACAGTCGTGCTCAGCAGCCATTGGTTATGGATGTACTTGAAGAAGTACTGTACCATGCCTGTGTTTTCTACTTTTCTTTAAGTTGTGAGTTTTTAAGCTTTCATCTTTTTCTATCTTCTCACTTTAATTGGGCATTTTATATGATTCTGTTTTTACTCCATGATTAGGCGTGCTTGTTTCCTAAAATCCTATTAGTGATTTCCCAATGTTAGAACAACCCACTTGCTGTGAACATAAATCATGCTTAATCTAACGGTGTACTGTTCCCGGACATTGGCAGGACTGTAGAAATGTTCCCACCTTCTCTTCCCGTACCATGTACAGTTGCTGTCCTTGAGTTCTCCATCTGGTACATTGTCGATACCATTGGTTTACACAAATGCTTGTCTGTTCATGAAGATGGAAAGAATACTTGTCTTTCCATTTTCTTTTCATCAAAGTTCCTTACTTACTTATTTGCTTCTTTCTACAGTTGTTACCTGGCAAGTATCCAGGAGACACATTCTCTGATTGTTAATGTTCTCTTTCCCTTCTTCAGGCTGTGTAACGTAACTGGCTTGTCTTCATGTTGTTTTGGGTTTCTTTTTTATTATTACTATTGAGACAGGGTCTTGCCATATATCTTCTTCGTGTTAGTTGATTCTGTGTTCCGCTTTCTGGGCTCTGCCCTGGAAATCCTGTAGTGATGGTCTTCTTTAAGCTGTACTCTGTACCTGAGTAATTGCTCTATGACCTTTTGCAGTAATTTCTAATTCTTTGTGTATTCTGTAGATAGACCTTCTTTTCCTGGTCTCGCTTTGTTCTTTCCCCATGGTTGCCTCTTCCTCTTTGAGCATAGGTAGGAAAGTTCCTTAAAAGACTGTGTCTTTTCCAAGTTCCATGTCTGAGGGTTCTCAGAAATTGTTTCTCTCAATTCGTTTTTCCAACGATGAGCTACGTTTTCCTGTTTCTGTGTATTTGTGGTGGTTTGTAATTATTCAGGTGACATTTGAGTGGTTACTCAGGTGACTTTGGAAATGAGCTGCAAAGATGAGAGAGGTTGAAATTGAGATTTTCAGTTGGTTAGGCTTTTGAGAAATACTTTTTTTTCTTTTCCCAGACAGAATATATAGTAAAAGAAGAATTTTTAAAATGCCCCCTTCTCTCTCCCCTGCTGTCAGAAGCAGCAGTTTTTGTCTGACCATCACAACAGGGCCTCCTGGAGGTTTTGCGTCTCAAAATTGTCTTCTCTGAGCCTTCAGCAGTTCACCAGGGACGCTTCAGATTTTCCTGCCTACAGGTTTCTGTTGCAGTAAGCTGTGCTACTCTGTGTCTGCCTCTTTGTTTCTCCAGTTTGTTGAAATCGGATTACATCTTGCCCTTAGTTGTCTGGATCCAGAAGAGTTTCTGGATTACAACTTTTTTGCTTTCTTCTAGGGAGAAAGCACTGCCCCGTGTCCTTCTGTGCTGTAGAGAGAAGTTGAAATGTGTGACTGTTCCTTGACGCTTGGTGACAGTGCTTTGCCCTCGGTACTCCTTTACCTTCCTGACACACAGCCAGAGAAGGTTCGCAGAAGCCTGGAAGGAGATGAGATCCTCTAGAGCTGTCTGAGGGAGGAGCGTACCTTTCCCCCTGTCTGAATGCACTTGCTTCCTGCTCAGGGGCCTGCCCACCTCATCAGGCCTCGCCTTCAGGAGCAGTAACCCTGTGCGAATGCTCTCGGTTTTCGGTCCTTGCCCTCCTCAGTGTCGGTGTCTGTCCTTAGCAGATCCACACCTCTGCAGGGAGCAGCCCCAGTGGCAGTGGAGCAGGATGTGTGGCCGCTGGCCAGCTCCCATGTCGGCTGCGCTGGCTCCAGCTTGCTGACCTGCCCTCCTCCCGCGGGCCACGCTCGCAGTCCCCTTCTTCTGGTGTCTGGGGATCTGCCACTCATCTTGTCACTTGCCAGGTCTTTGAATACCGCTCACACTGCCAAGTTACAAGCAGACAGCGTATAGTACTGATGTTAGCATCAGTTCTTCCCACTGTAACCTCTAAATTATTAATGATGAAGTTGATTTTCAAAAGTAAATAATAAAGTTTCTGATCAAATTTTTAAATTATTATAAGTATTTTTGACACCCTCATCAAGATTCATAACAGGGCCTTGGTGCCCAGCCTGGGTCACCCGTATCCTGCTTTGTTGTAGACCACACCTTGATTCCTTGGCTGCCTTTCCTGTCTTCTCCACACGTGGCACTTTGCTTAGCAGTGTCCTTGGCCACACCCCAGCGCTCAGTAAGTGAGTGTTAAAGGGAGTGGAAAGAAACCCTGCCTGTCCTCCTTTCCCTCAGGGTGTTTTGCACCCACTGCTGTGGGATGTGGGCCAGCCTGTGCCTTCCTCCAGTGCAGTACATGCTGGGTGCCACCTTTTTCAAGGGTACTTTTTAGAGCAGTTACAAACAGTGCTTCTGTCCCAGGTGAAAATGCACAGTGCATTCTCTGGACATTGTGAAGAATGACTGGTGTGTACCTTGTAGTAAAGTTCAAAGTACGGGAACTGACACTGGACCACATCAGTTTGATCTTCAGGCATCACTGCTTGCTTGCTTTCTGTGGTCCTCAACACTTTCATTTACCTATCTGGGTAATTTCCTCTGTGAGGGCCGCGGATATTGTTTGAAATATGGTGTTTTCTCTTGAGTTAGATTTATTTTGATAATTTTCCAATCATGTTTTTATTTGTTCTACTCCACATTCTAATCCTTTTATAATGGATGTGTTCCAGGTACTTTTCTTCAACTTCTGTTTTTTACCTCCTTAGTTTTCCTAGATTTAAATTTCTTAAGGATTATTCTCTGTGTGAAGAAACTGTGTCTTCAGACCCAGAATTTATTTAATGGTGGCTTCTCAAAGTGTTCAGGTTTTGTCTTTCCTGTTTCAGTATGATGTGCTGATTGTCAGTGCATTGTGGATGTACAGAGCGCGTTCCAAGTCAGCGCCTGCTTGTCCCTGCGTCACGCATGAGGAGGCTGTGATTTCCAGCACTGTTTGTGGATCTGTTTTCTGGTCACGCGTGGAGTCATTGAACACCTTTTCCCTTTCCCGGTCTGTGTGAGCCTTGCTGGTGATAGCATAGGCCCTGGGCTGGAGATGTAGCTCAGTGGTGGGACCCTTGCCTCACGTGCCCATGGCCTTGAGTTCAAGCCCAAGTTCTGCAAAGAGAGACAAATAATGTAGTGTCCTGAAGAGCACAGTCTCAAATTTCCTATTAGAAGCATGACTCTTATTTTTCCAGGCTTCTCAGCATTTTTCAACTTTTGTTATATCTAGTAGATTTGGTAGAGTGCTTATTTGCTAGTGAAAGGTATAAAGTTCCGGATCTTTGTAAGAGCCGACAGCTTGGTGCCACTGCCTTCCTAACCATGTTTCATCCTTCCTCTTGCCTCAGCGTCCTTTGACATCCCGAATAAAAACTGAGGCTTTTGCATTAGCGTAATGAATTCCCTTTCATGATTCATATGTAATATTTAAGTTGTTCTGTAAAAACACAGGTACAGGGATCTGAATGTCTCTCGGTGCAATCACAGGATGCACTTGATTTCCTGAGTAACCAGAGATGATGAGAAGTTACACATAGTATCCGTCACCACTGCCCAGTGTAGTTGGGAGCCTGTTGACTCCCTGTGATGAATTTATCAGAAAATTGCTGATGTTCACAAAGACAAAGGGAGTTAAACATGCAGCACATTGTCGTGCTCTGGGAGCCTCAGATGGCCTTTGGCGGTAAATTCAGTGAGGTCCATCACAGTAGTACTTCTCAGATAACAGCAATGATCAGACTTTAACAACAACAAAAAATCAGACTTTGTTTTCAGCCGTTTCCAATTTTAGCAGTCTGGACTGCTGGTGTTAGCCTCTTGTGTACAGTAAGTAGCAGAACTTTGCTTTTTGGGGGTTTTGTTTTTTGGTACCAGGGATCGAACTCGGGACCTTGCACTTGCGAGGCAGGTGGCACCACCACTGAGCTAAATCCCTGGCCCTGTAGCGAACTTTGTTAGGAGGAATGCCACAGACCCTGTGTCCTGTGGGAAACTAATGTGACCCAGCAGTTAGGTGGGCGTTTCCCTTCTGTTCCCTTCCAAGTAGTTCTGATCTAGCCGCACAGTTTCTCTGTGAGAGAGGAAAGTAAGAGTGACAAACAGGAGTGAAGTATTCGGAGAGCACAGCACTGTACGAGCTCGTGACGAGGAGTCTACATCTCCGGTGCTGTGTGTCTCACCCTTTCTCCTTTAATACATGTGGGATGATTTAGGAGTCGGTGACCTTTGAGGATGTGGCTGTGAACTTCACCCTGGAAGAGTGGGCTTTGCTGGATCCTTCACAAAAGAGGCTCTACAGAGATGTGATACAGGAAACCTTCTGGAACCTGGCTGCTATAGGTATGGTGACTTCACTCCTTCCCTTAGTCAAGGAGGAAGTGTTCTCTGCTAATTAATGATGCTCCATGAATCAGAACATGAAAAGGGAGCATTTTGGTGAACGTACTGTGATATTGGCACTATACTTTACCATCCACCTAGTTAGAATATTATTTTCTATGATGTTGATGTTTCTGAGATTATTCATGTATATTCATTCACAATTACTTCCCTGGCTCTACCTTTTAGGAAAAAATTGGGAGGACCAGAACATTGAAGATGAATATGAAAATTCCAGGAGAAATCTAAGGTAATTTGCACTCATAAGAGAAATCAAAGTCCCTTAAGAACCATGGAGTGACTGGAAATATAGAAAGCAAGCAAATGATACCATTGAGATTCACATTCTTATAATCTCAAAAAAATTTCTCTAAAAATGGTGTACAGGTTTTCATCCATAATTGGAAAATCCAAAACTCAAAGCATTCCAGAATTGGAGACATCTGAAGTACCACCAGGGGCCTGAAGTGACACTTTCGGGTGGTGCATTATTCACAGGCATTGTTTCCATGCTCAGAATTATTCAAAATGTTGTCTGAAATTATCTTCAGGGCTTGGGTATAAAATGTATATGAACAAAGTGCACTTTGTGCTTAGACCCAGTTGAAAATATCCCATTATATATACACAAATATGTCAATAATCTAAAAGGGTTTGGGTCCCAAGCCTTTTACATGAAGACTATTCAAGTGCATGTAAACATGATATAGGCATTCAGACTGCAAAACAGTTAACTTGAGGGCTGGAGATGTAGCTCAGTGGCACCGCACCTGCCTCACAAGTGCAAGGTCCTGAGTTTGATCCCCGGTACCAAAAAAAAAAAAAAGAACTTGGAAATGGTATAGAGACCCTGTATCAGTGGCAGCAAACCTATGGTGTGCATAAGGCAGCAGGCTGTCTGTATCACTGAAGCCTCTGAAAGGTTCGCCATTACTGCCCTATATGAATACCTTGTATTGCTCATAGCTGCCCTTGAGCTGTCTTGCAGACCACTCACTCCATTCATCTTCAAAAGTTCTTATTGGGATAAACCACCATTTCTCCTGGTAAATCATTAATAAACACACCCTTAGTAATGTGCTTCTTGTTTTTTACAGAAGTCAAGTGGTAGAGAGTTTCTGTGAATATAAAGAAAGTAGTCAATGTGGGGAAATCTTCAGCCCGCTTCCAGATCCTATTGTGAACATGAAAACTTTTCCTGGAGTAAAACTAGGTGAAACCCATGTTTGTGGAAATGACCTTATTGTTCCTTCATTCCTAAATTTGTCCTTCAGGGAGGACACTGAGCAGGAACCATATGTGTATGAGGAGTATGGAGAGATGTTGCATAAATGTGAGGAACATGGGAACGCCTTCCATTTTCCCCAGTGGTTTCATATGTATGAAAGGACTCCAGCTGGAGAAAAACCCTTTGAAAGTGAACCGTGTGATAACTTTAGGTGTCTCAGTCCTCTTCAGAACCATGAAAAGATTCTCTTTGGAGAGAAACAGCATGAATATAAGCAATGTGGGACACTCTTCAGAAGTCACAGTTATGTAGGTAAGCAATGTAGGAACACCTTCATGAGTCTTGGGCACAAGCAGAGACCCACAGTAGCCCACACTGGAGATAGACCCTATAAGTTTCAGGTGCCTTGCAAGGCCTTTGATGGTTCCGGGTCGTTTCTCATATATGAAAGAAATCACACTAGAGAGAAACACTATGAATGTAACCAATGTGGGAAAACTTTCACTTTTTCTAGTTCTTTTCGAAGACATGTACGAACTCACAGTGGAGAGAAACCCTACATATGTAAGCTATGTGACAAGGCCTTCAGTTGTTCCAGGTCTCTTCAAAGACATGAAGAAGCTCACAATGGAAAGAAACGTTATGTTTGTAAGCAATGTGGGAAAACCTTTAGTTCTACTAGTTACATTCGAATACATGAAAAATCTCACACTGGAGAAAAACCTTATGTATGTAAGCAGTGTGGGAAACCCTACCACATTCCAAGATCTCTCAGAAAACATGAAATAACTCATACTGGAGAGAAACCCTTTGTATGTGGGCAATGTGGGAAAGCCTTCCATTGGTCCAATTACCTTCGAGTGCATGAAAGAGTTCACACTGGAGAGAAACCCTATATATGCAAGTATTGTGGGAAAGCTTTTAGTTCTTCCAGTTATATTAAAATACACGAAAGAACTCACACTGGAGAGAAACCCTATGTATGTAAGCTGTGTGGGAAATCCTATTGTGATTCCCGTTCCCTCAGAAGACATGAAAGAAGTCACACTAGGAAGAAATCTTCCATACGAAAGGTGGGAAGGCCTCCAATCAGTACAGTTCCCTTCACAAACGTGAAAGAACTGGCACTAGAGGGTAACCCTAAATACAGAAAAGGAGAAAGCCTCATTGACACTGGACCTTTCTAGGAACATGGGAATGCACAGTGGAGAGAACCATGTTTGTAGTGTGTGGGAATGTGGCTAGTCCTTTGCTTCCACACTGATACAAAGCTACAGAATATGGGAGAGATTACCCGAATAGAAGAGATACGCAGAAGTCTTCAGATGGCCCCCATGTAAAAGGTACCCTGGGTTAAAAATCTGTGAGTATGATAAACCCATGAAATTTGCTAGTTGTAAAAAATAGTTTCAGAGTCTTGTGAAGAGTGCTCTTGTATGTAGTGGAATTTTGTAAATGAGATTAATATAATGAGGTTGATGCAAATTAATTTGTGTACAGTGCTCCAAGAAATATATCACCTGAAGGAATTGTACTAAAAGTTATATATGTATTATGTTTATTAGTGGCTCATTCTTAAGGTAGACCTCTGGACTATGTATTTATAAGTTTTTAAGATTATTTTCTGAGACAGGCTCTTGCTGTTTCTCAGGCTAGCCTCAAACTGGCAATCCACCTGCATCAGCATCCATAACTACATAATTACATAATGAAATTTACAGACGTGCTCCTTTTTTAAAAAATCTAATTGTTCTCAGAAGTAAACATTGAAGTGACATAGTAACAAGTTTTGTTTAAGCAATACGGTATGACTTTAATGGGCAGTGTTCTTAGGCTTAAGTTTTATGTCATTTTTTGGAATAATTTTGTGGTTAATGGCCTATTGAAACATGAATTGTTAAATTGTTGTGTTTTTCCTACTGGCCTAATGTGGCTGAATCTGAACTCTGAGTGTGTGGGTGTGGGTGTGCGTGTATGCATGCATATACTCCAACTTTGTATTTTATAAATAGCCTTTTTAGGTGATTTAATATTTTTTGCTTTTGATGTATATTTTTTTCAAGCAAGGTTTCTGTACATATTTTTTAGAGTTCATTTGTTTCAAACATCCTGTAGATTAACAATGTTACCTTGTTCATTTACTGAGAAGATATCTATCAATATCACATTGCAGTATTGCATTAGAGCAAGGTTATAAGTTTATCATATTTTTCACTTGCTGTTGAAAAGTACCACTTGCTTATAAACTATAGGTGTTTCTTTCTCCGTAGAAATTTTACTTTTCATGTTTATATTCTTATAACTTGTATTTTGATTGTAGTTTTTTCACTCATCATACCAAAAAGTACAGTGTGCTGGTATGACTGATATACCTTGCCAGAGTACACGAGAGTTATGCTTTTGGTCACTTATGGGGTAAAGTCCTAGCATAATAAATCTCTCCAGACACCATAACTGCCTGTGTGGTTTATCAGTGAGAGAACACTCTCCATATTTGCTAGGATTTGCATTTGTTTTAGAGGAATTGATTGCTATTCAGTTCAATAAGGCATCTCCCACTAGGACACAGTAGGGTGGTCACATTATTGACTAGAGGGAATTTTACTCATTTGTGTGTTCTGTCAACTTTAGATAAACACACTACTGTTTCGTACTGTTTTTTCTTCATCCGTATTTTTATGTAACTGAGGAGTATTGTCTGATCTTCAGGGTATGTGATATGTCTTTATGAGACTTGATTGTGTTGTGAATGGGAGGCCTGCTCCAGTTTTCCTTACCTGTTTCAGGCCTTTATGATGTTACCATCTAAACTAGGAAGTATTTCCTAAAGAATATCCAGCTCTCAAAGGTACAGAGGCTTTTCAGCCTGGGATGGGGTTACATTTTCATAAACTCATTGTGATGTCAAGATTTGAAGATACAGAACGCACCTTTCCCACTGAACCCTGGGCCTGAGCCAGCCCAGCTTTGCAAAGGAGGCTTAGATCAGTGAGATTTACCCACAGTGGGCACAGTCATCTACTGCAGGGTCTTCTCAATGCAATGCTGCCTGTGTGATTTTACACTCCTGAGCACGCAGCAAACCAGAACAGCTCACTGTTTCCACCCAGCCACATAAGAAAGCATATACTGAGCCAGGCATAGTGGCATATACTGGTAATCACAGCACTCGGGAGGCTGAAACAGGAGGATCGCTGTGAGTTCAAGGCCAGCCTGAACTACACAGTGAGACCCTGTCTCAACACCTCCCATCCCAAAAAAGACAAAGTCAGAGATGGCAGCTGACAGTATATTCATGGTGGGGTGTATTTCTCTGTCCTGTGTGGAAGTCCATGTGTGAGTGAGGATGTCGTCACTGGTCATTTTTCACATACCCAGTTCCCTGACCCCCGTGTGGGTCAGCAGCTGCTGTGTGTCAGGGTAGGCACTGCAGCTAGTCCTGCCTGGTGGGGCTGACATCACAATTCGTTCTAATGCACGGGTAGAAGACCATCATCTGTAATGACAGCATTTTAGTACATCTGACACATTACCTGCATTTGGCACACGAGACTCTGGAACTTGAGATTCCTCAGTTCTTTGGGACACACGTGTCTTAGGTGAATCTGGTTGACATCATTGGAGGATTTCAACTCCGTGTTACATGCAGCCGTATCACTGAGTTGCAGGTCCTTCAGGACATCCTGAGAAGGGTGGTTCTGAACAGCTCTAGCCTAGCATGGCCTTTTCCCATCCACACAAATCCACAGCAGTTTCCCACTTGATGCTCCAAAGGAAGTCTTGATGCTTTCAGGTCATGTATCCAAGTAATTATTGAGGTGACTAGCAGATCGAACTTATTTTGAGTTGTACCCAAATTTAGTGGAAAAAGAGGCTGTATTTGACATCTCAGGTGGAATATTTTTGCTGTCTGTATGACGTCAGCTGGGCCATTGTATTTCAGTGGCCCAACAGAGCCCTGCTCTTCTCTCCACTGGGGTTGCTTCCACGTGCTTAGACTTTATTACGTGTTACGGAAAATGGGGAGACATAACTGCTTTTTGTGTAATATTTTTTTAAGAAATTACTTTTCATCCTTTTCTTCCTTTATGATTTATGTTTCTTTTATTCTGTTTATATTACATGACCTGAGTATTGTTAGTAACACAAGTTGATCCTGTCTGTTTTATTCTCCCGAGTGTTTTATTCCTTCTTACAGAGAATGAAATGACCTGCAGGGAGCACAGACCTTTGAAAAATCACATAACTCACAGTGGCAAATTTCTTAATGTTAGCTCCTAGCATGTTAGCAGGCATCCTCAGCACTATTGCAAATGTCGACTGAGAAGCAACACAAGTATTATGTTTTTATGCAGTTTTTCAAAGGTGGCATTGAGTATATGTTAGTAGCATTCCTATCAGTATTAGATGACATTAGTATGAATATGATACATGGTTTTGTATGTAAAAATACTTCGTGATTTTATTGATATGAAAACTTATTTTTAGGCATGCATGTTTTATGTTGACCATTTCTCATAAAGCAAGGTCAAAAATGGAAATGAGAAATCCTGCTCAGTTAAATGAACTGAAGTTGAAAGGTGAGGCTTATTCAGGGTTCCACATGTAATTCATTCCTTCACTGTGAGACAGTTCATTTACAGGCCCACAAACTTTTGTTGTGCAGTACCTTGCAATCGGAAATGTTAACATAAGTTACCCTGTCTCTTCATGTAATGTCAAGGTAAGATGATGGGTAAAAAGTATTGGAAAAAAAGCTATTTATAAATAAATAAATAAATAAAAGATACTTGTAGAATTTTGTGAATAGCACAATCAGATTTAAACTCATTCTTGAGATTGACTGTAAGAAAGAAGCAGCTCAGAGGTAGGACGGGGAACACTGGCAGTGTTCCAGGAGTCAAGTGGTAAAGCAGTCTGAGTACGGCATATGTCACGGGCCCGTGCTGGTGAGGAGCCTGGCACCGGAAACAGAACAGCTTCAACGCTGAGGTGACCTGTGCTTGTTTGCCAAGGACTGACCTGATGCTGCTTGCTTTTCCTGAGTAATGTCTCTTACAGCCTGTCTTTTGAATATGTTTTCTGTATTTGTAGAAGAAATGTACGTGGGTATCGTTACATGTAAGCTGTATTAGTTGAAATCAACTTTAATTAAATAAATTTTGTAGAAAGACTGAATAAAATCCTGTTTCTAGGAAAGATCAAGTCTTGCATCCTGATTTGTCCCATTGTAGGGTTTAGCTGTGCTCATTCCTCAATCGGCCAGGAGTGAACGGAGTATTTTGAAAGGTGTAGAAAAATGCGTGTGCCAAAGGCAGTTCTATCACAGAATTGCTAAAATAGACTTTCTGTTACGACTGCTTGTTAAGCAGCTTTTTCTCTCTCACTTAGTTTGATTTTAGAATTGCAGTCATTTGCCACGTGGTGTTTGTAACATCCATTTTAGTTATGCAAATTCAAATCTTTCTCAGTATCCTCCTCTGCCATCCTAAAGTCAAGCCTCCCTGGTTTGTTCAGCTTTGCTAGTCGATAATCCAGTCCCAGCACAGGTAAACGCCCCTTTCATGAGCTTGCCTCTTTTTACTCTGCTTCCTACTGAGTTTTGTCCCCTATGGTTTTATACTTTGAGGCCCAGCTCTGCACCATGACCATCTGGAGGTGGCGCTGTAAGAGGTTCCTGGGGCTGTGTCTTACTCTCGCTGCTGCTGAGGCACAGTACCCAAATCCACAGCTCTTAAAGGAGGAAAGGTTTACGTCACCTCGGGTTTCAGCAGTTCTCTTCATGGTGGGCAGGCCCACAGTGGTACGATGGAATAGCGCGGCACGGAGAGAGCCAAGGAGGAAGCCAGAGAAGGCGACACCTGCCCCAGGTCTCATGCCCTGCGACCCACCCGGAGCAAGCAGGCCCCACCTTCTCAGCTCGCTCAGCCATGACCTCACTAGGGGGTGATCATGGTACCCCATGACCCAGTCCCCTTCCAGAAGCCCCACCTTGAGTGAGTGCATCAGCGTTTGGGGGGACCATGGAGATCTAAGCCCTGACGCCGGGGTGGGGTGGGGTGGGGTCCCCATGGTGTGATCATCCTCCTCTGGAGAGTGGAGAAGTCAAGGTCACTCTGCCTTGTGAGGACACAGCAAGATGTCTGCCATCTGCAAGCCGTGAAGACGGCCTTCACTGGGAGCCGGAGTGACAGCAGCGAGACGGCTTTCTGGGCTGCGGCAGCCTGTCTTCTGTGTGACCTGCCGTTGTGGGATTGTGCATTAAGTTGAGCAAAGACCCCGCCCGGTGCGGCCTCACTTCCTCTGCAGCAACCGTGCACTGTCTTCTGTGGTCATCGCATATAGGTCTCACTGACGAGGCTCCAAACCCTTTGCTGAAGTCCTGTGGACTAAAAGGTCTCGAGTTTATGCCTTCTTCATCAGTGGGCGCTGTTAGTTAAGTTAGCGTGTGCAAACGTAAGTACACACAGACATACACAGGGTGCTTTTGCCCATCCAGAGGTGGGTGAGGAATAGGGAGGAATCCAGCCACCAGCCTCCTGGGCTGACCTGAGGCCACTTCAAGGCGCTCCCGTCCCTTCACGCCTGCGCACTGCCGACTGGATTTAATGCCAGGCTCGCAAGGCCCAGTAACCGCGCCCTTCTCCCAGCCCGAGACAGCCGCCTCACCCCGCGCTTCTCTAGCGGATAGCCACAACGCCTTGTCACTGCAGCTTTTGTCCTCACAAAACAGGCATCTCAAACAGATTGTTTGCCGTCCAGCCTCGAGGGAGCTGCAGACCCAAGCTCAGGCCGCGGCCCAACCCACTCCCCGTGTGTGGTCTGGGTGCCCACGGCATGACCGCGCGTCGCGGCACCTGGGCGGCTCTGAGGACGCCCAGCCGGGCCTAGGCAGCTGAGTCCACTGAGGGGGCCTCAGAAAGTCTGGGGAGTGGACTCCCCCACAGCCCTGCCAGGCCCACGTCCCCGACCCAGCCCTGAGTGACAGAAGTGCGGCCTCAGCCCCGCCGCCCGCCAGGTCCTCCCGAGCGCCCGGCCCAGTCGGGGACGATCCACTGATCCACAGCTTCTCACATTCCCCAGAGCCAGGCCTGCTCTCGGAGCCAGAGGCCTCTTCCACTCCTTCCTCCTGAGAGCTGTCACATTTCAGACTCAGCTTCCCCAAGTCGACTCCCGACCTCAGAGAAGAAGAGGTGAGGGGAACGAGCCAGCCCTTGAGGGAACCAGGGGAGACCGGTGCTGCTAGCACCCCACGCATTTGGGATGAGGTACCTGGCTCTGTGGACAAAGTTCTCATTCTTTATCTCTGTTCAGTGCATTTCAGAGAAGAAAACGAAAACATGAGAACGATGGAATACGTCACTCAACACTTGCGGAAAATAGAGTTAGTGGCAGTGATGTTTCACAAAGGGGGAGAAGGAAGAAAAGTCTAAGAAGTAATTCAGACAGGCAGCCTGTTTTGCCCCAGTTCACAAGGAAACTAGAATGTAGAAGTTGAGCAAAGCCCCAGGTTTCCAGACCCTCTGGCTGCTGGACAGAACCCTGGAATGGGTCGCTCTGTGCTGTGGACAGAGGGACCCTGCACACTGAACTGCAGCAGTGTCCCATCCATGCTCCCACATGTAAACCCATGGCCTTAACTCACCAGAGGGGTGCTGTGGCTGCAGTAGCGTGGGGTGGTGACCTACAGACACCAACGCCAAGTCCCTGAGCCCTTCTCCGGGAGACAACCCGAGGGGTGACCCAGGAAGGCAGTATTCCTCGTGAACAGCAGTTGGAGATCAACCCCAGATGCTGGTGAACGCCCAGCCCACACACTCCAGAGACAACAGCAGAGTCACCAGATTCTCACCCTCAGGCAGATCCCTGCTTCCTGGGTCTCCAGCTCCTTGCTGTGAGTCTCCTGGAGCTGCTCCACACCACCGCAGAGGAGGACGCTGCCAGGGACCCACCCAGGGGCTTCGGGCCCTCGCTGTGCCCCTGAACGTGGCCTCAGTGGGGAGTCACTGGGCTTGGGGTGCTGTGTCCACCGGGTCCGTCCATCCGCTGCGCAACACCGTCCATGAGTGAGCAACAGTTCTCACTGCAAAGTCTCAGAACTCGGAAAAGTCCTCCTTCCCCTCTGTGTGCTGATGAACAAGGACAAGCCTAAGATGCTTTCAATGGGTTAAAAAAGTAGCAAGTAATTATTCCTTGAGAAGACAAGTGTGCCAGAAAACCCTCCATTCTGTGGGAGCAGACTTGCTTGGAAGCACCTAGGAACTCTCCTTTTTCATCTGCCTCTGGAGTTCCCAGGGCTCCCAGCTGTGACCTTGGGTCTGACATCCTCTGCCCTGTTGAAACTGACTGGAACCCAGCATCACCACTGCCCACCCATGTCTTTCTAGTCCACAGACGAGTTTGTAGGCATCCTAGCAGTAGGCTAACTCGCTCCAGCAGAATACTCATGAGGACACTCACGCCCCTCTGTTTAAGTTTTTAGCCTGAAATGGTTTTTCGGGAGAACTTGCAGCATTTTGGGTGAGAACTAAGGACACTGTCTTTGCTGCTGTTCTTCAGCACCTCTCATACCACCTGCTTATTGAGGGCACACGTGGAATCCTCCTGTCTTTCGGAATCACTGAGGTTACAAGACAGTGTGCAGGTTCTGTGGTAACTGGCAGAGGAAGACCCCGGGTAACCTCGGCTTCAGGGAGTGATCGAAGAGGCAGAAAGTGCTGGACGGCTAAAAGAGAAATTTTAAAAAGTGTAGTTTTTTGTGTGTTTGCAGCATATTTAGAATGTTGACTCAACACCTGAGCCTCTGGGTAGGGGCAGGAATATAAGTCAGTATGTCAAGTCAGGCATGGTGGCACAAGCCTGTCATTCCAAAATCCCAGGAGGCTGAGGCAGGGATGTCACAAGTTTGAGGAACAGCACCGGGTCTCCCCGGCTCCCCTCAAGGCCTGGCTTGTTCCCCACGTCCCTTCTTCTCTGAGGTCGGGAGTCGTCTCCGAGACTGGCTGAGGCTGGGGTCTGGGACCTGGGCCCGGCTGGGCTGTAGGGGAGGCTGCTCCCCGGACTTCCTGCGGTCCCTCAGTGGACTCAGCTGCCGCAACCCCCTGAGTGCTGCGACCCCATGGACTGCAGGAGAGGCCTCAGGGTGACCCGGCCCCTGGACGCGTGAGGAGACTGGGGCCTGGATCCTGGGCCTGAGGAACCTGCTGGAACTGGCTGCGGCTGGAAGGACCTGCCTGGGTTTTGGTGGCTGCTGTGGAATCTCCCACCCTCGCCTGGGTCCACTCTCTGCAGCGGGGAGGAGCTTCTCAGCCACCCGGTCCTCACTCGGTCCGCAGGGCCGCCTTGTGCTACTCACAGGGAGCAGGGAGGACGCGGGGTCCAGCAAGGTCATGGGAAACGGGGAAGTTGGGTCCCGATGCAGAAAGGACCCAGCCTCTGCCTGTGCTGGTCTCCACTTCTCTGTGCCCTGGATGAGGGGATCCAGTCGAGACACACACAATACCCAGAAGAATCGGTAAAGGTGATTGTGAAGTCGATATGGGAGAATTGTGCCTTCAAGGAGAGGGTAGGCTGGGCCACTGCTGTCTGCAGCCAGTGAGATTCTGGATCCTCTTTCTGCACCCCCAGGGCACCTGCAGGGTTAAGGGAACTGGGGTGATTATGATGCTTGTTAAGATTTTACTTGGAAATTATTTTGGAAGTGCAAAGTGACTTCCTATCCTTTCTAGATGGTCAGTGTTTCCTCAGGGGCTTTACTTATGTGAGAAATTGAGGGATGGAATTTAAGAAAGATTGGATCCTAATCTAAACCAGTGCCCAGCCAGGGCAGGAGGGTCTGCATGGAACGTTTCCTTCCTGGTGTCGCTGGGCGGCAGGCTGTGGCACCCAGACGTGCTCATGCCTTTGCTGGAAGTGGACGGCCAGGTGGCCAGGCTTCAGAAAGGACCCTGTACATTGTGCCACCTGCAGATGTCACCGTGGTCTGTGGGATCCCTAGGGGTCCGAGATCTAACAAGTGATTACAAACATATTAGACACTGCCGTCCGCTTCTTTACTTAGGTGGGAAAGTGTACTGTTTCACTGTTGCCCCTGCTTGTCCCCCAGGCCTGTTAGAGTCTAACTACCTGCCTAACATTCCCCCTGAAGAGTTGGGGCCCACTCACCTGGCGCCACAATGGTGCATACCTGTAATCCTAGC